TAAATGCTTGGAAATGCTAGCTGGTACATGCAAAATGTCCAGGCACTTGAGTGACTTCTGATAGATGATACACGATCTTTATGCATCTTTTTATCCTGGTAAATCTGGCCATAGGAAAGCTATGTCCCATTTCTTTTTTTGGTTGAGTTCTGTCTCCAAATTACCAATATAGCTGCGCTCTTTGAGAACAAAACAGTTCACGAGGTCTTCAGCAATGGACGTGGTCAAGACATTTTCAGCTGAAGGAATCCATCTATCAAAAGATCTCGCAACATTGGAATAATTTTGTTTTGGATAAAGGTTTCCCACCACACCCAGAATAGCACAAATACCAATACCCATCATCTCTTTACTTCATTTGTTGTCCTTGCCAGAAGCCTTTTGTGACAGTTTTTTAAACCTGACCAGGCAGAAAATAAAAAATCTGCAGAGGCAGTTTGGGCAAAAGCTTAAAGCAAGGCTCTGAGCACAGTTCCCCCATTTTAGTCATCGACTTACAGATGAATATATTTGTTTTTTTCTAGTGCTATGTATATTTAATTGTAAAATGGAACAGATTAAACAAGAACCACTGAAAGCAAAATCAAATCAGACCTCTCAGCAACATGGTGGGCATATTTAGGTTCCAGCAAAGGAGCATTCACGAGCCTGCTCCAAATCAGGAAGAGATTAAATTTGAAAACTGGTCTCCCACCTTACAGACACGTCTCCTGCTTGGCCATTTTTGTGGGAGTCTGGAGCAATTTACCACATTGTTAGGACAGGTAGGCAGGGGGGCCCCTGATTTGGGGGAGTGACTGGAGCTTACGTGCCTGTCAGCAGGTTTGTGATACACACAGTAATGCACACCTCTGGGGGTCGAACTTTAGGTGTACAGCAGATTTTTATGGAAAAAACTGTTTCCATGATTATTAGTTGCCTACAGGACCAGGCAACAACTAAACACTGGTCTTATGGGTCTAATTTTTGGAAAAAAAAGTGGCACCAAAGTACTGTAATGGATCGGACTTTTTAATAGTTCTTTTTGGTCAATGTAGTGCTGTGATACTGTATTGTCAAGCAGCAAACCAGAAGGTATATTAATTAACAATGTTTAAAATCAACAGAAAGATGGCCTGGATTTTTCTTCTTCCATCTGTTTTCAATTAAAAGCCCAGCTCTTATAATTTAGCAGATTTGCTAAATATGTGTTTATATGTATTAGAGTCTTTCTCTCTGTCTTTCTTACTTGGTGGTGTCACTCTTTCTTAACCCAATTATCGACACTTGGGGGCCCTGTGTATTATTTCTATTAGGAAAACAAATTGATGATGAAGTAAAATATCTTTCATTCAGGCCCTTGTTTATTTACAATGACTGCTGGAATTCTGTCTCCTTGAACCCAGGAAGACTCAAACAGCAGAAGAT